ATGTTCTTCTGGGAGCGTATTTTCCCCATGTTGACTCGAGCTAAGCTTGCAGGGGAGATCTTGATGGGTAAGTAAACTTTGGCAGCGGAGTAGAGGAGGTTGAGCTCGGCACCCCAGGACTCTTCGACGGTGATAACGGAAATGGAGCGGCTGTGGTAGCAGAAGAAATATTGTTGTATTTTGGACCAGAGGAAGTTTCGGATGGGTGCGGGAATAGGGTTGGGTGTTGATTGGAGAATCGTGATTGATCCGGATAAGGAAGCGTAGGCGTGGAACCAAGTCGACGGCGGAGGCGGGTTGCGGAGGAATTCCATGACAAATTTCATAGCTGAATCCATGGAAATTAAGTTAGTGATGTTTAAGCAGAATGGGGTTTCGACGGATCTTTATACAAAGGTTGTAGGTTTGTTGTTCGGCATTTGATTGGGACCATTATGCCGGCCAGGAAAAAAATTACACATAAGCACGGTATGAAATTCTCGTACATGCACAAAAAGTCAAGATTTCCTCGATATGTTTCCAATTAGACTTCAACACGTGTATGATGCCGTTACCAATTTGGATTTAGCAGCACTTTACTATAGTGTGTATGATGCCTTTACTAATTAATATGGCAATCGTTATCATTGCCCACACATTTTCGTTGAGGTCACGCACTTTTTTATTTAATGAGAATAAATACTTTGCTTAAATATTAATAGAACTACACCAGGATATATGCCGAGCATATTATTAGAGATATTAAAAGAATGGGTCTTTAACTAATGATTTATTGGTTTAAATGAAAGAAATTTAATTTTTTTTTTAAATAAAATTTTAAATTTGAGTCTTATAAATGAAAAAACAAACGTTTAAAGAACTTTCCTCTAATGAGGCTGGACATGATTCAATTTCGAATTAGTTAGGATCCAATATAGTTATCGAATATTAAAAAGTTAATACAAAAAAAAGGTCTTTCAAATATGTGAAATAATTTAATTGAATAATTGATAAAACTTAAATTAAATTTTGTTTTACATATAAATTAATGATGAAAAAAAACTCTTTTATCTTAAAATAATTGTTGTTATTAAATTTT